ACTGGCCCTCATATGTGGGATCCAAACCGAGGCCTTCTGGCGTCCCAAGCCAGCTCTTAACCAACGCGCCACTTGGCTGGCCCGATTCTATGTGTCTTTATTATAATTACAAATACCTTCAATACCTTTGATGCTTGTTCTTACCTTGCTAAACCTCAGTCCTAATTTAATCCAACTCTTCCTTTTCTCTAAGTGTGTTCAAATAGCTAAACATTTTGAATAAATTGTATACCTAGCTGACTGTTTACTCAGAGGGCCTCAAGTGGACACCTAGCATGCTTGGAAATCCTATTACTACATTTCTCTAATGAGTTTAACCTTTTATACCACTTTTTCTGTCAATCACCTGTACTCACTGACCTTTTCTCAGTTTTAACTGATGACTCCTCAATTAGAAGAAGTCAGACAGGAAAGTTCCTTATCACCCCACCACCACCAAATCTTCAAACCTAACCTGTGTTTGTACCTATGTTTTCTTGCATCATTCTTGTCAGAATGAAATAGTATTCTTCCTGCTGTCAAAAGCAAGGCCTTTTATTTGTGCTCGATATCCTATCCCTTCTCACCTTCCCCTAGGACTTGGGTACTGTAGTTATCTTAACGCCACTCCTCATCATCACGTTCTTCTCTTCTTAATCCTTCCTGTCAGTAAAGAGACAGGATCCAGTATCTACCATCTTCATACAAACAAAACCCTCCTTTGGCTCCACATCTCCCACTCGTCACAGACCTCTTCTTTGTTCCGTGACCCACAGGAACCTTTGGAAAGAGTCGCCCTCACTCGCTTTCTCACCTCCAATTCACTCTTCAGCCCTCTCAAATTTAGCTTCCATCACCACTCTTCCAATGAAATTGCTCTTGTCAAGGTCATCAGTTTTTATCAGTAACTGAAAGTACTAGTTCTAATGGACATTTTTCTCTTCTCATACCCTGCCTCTCACCACTTTTCCTCCCACCTTTCTCCTTTGCTGGATTTTCTTTCTCTATCTGAACCCTGAATGTAGGTGGGATTTGTTTCTGGTCCACCATCTTTTCTCTTTCTGCATCCTCCCATCCATTACATTACTTTAAATAGTTTATACACTCTTAATGATTTCCAAATTTATATTTCCAGTTTGACTTCTCCCTTGATTTCATTTGTGTATCCAATTGCCTATTTGACATCTCTGCTTAGATCTGAAAGGAAAGTCATACTTAAAAATCTGTGAAGACTTTTTATTCTTTTAGCCCCCATCAAATCTGTTCTTTTCCCCAAACGTTCCCATCTTAGGAAGTGGTTTCATTATCCCTCCAGTTGCTCAAGCTGCAAACCTAGAAATAATCCTGTTTTTCTCATTCCTTACATACAAATCAGAATATCCTGTTTTACCTTCAGAATATATTTCAAGGTTTTGCCTCATCTCCACTGTTACTCTATGTTAATAGCAGGTTATGCCTTGACTCTTTATAACCCATTCATATTTCCCAAGTACTGCAAAGATCAAGTCTCATTTATTCTCTAGAAAAGTAAAAATTGGCCTAAATCTCCCAGGAAATTTTGTCGATCTCTTCTAGAATTAAATTAAATCAGAGGAGAAGGGTTTGGGTTTTTTTTAAGTACTTGTCAGCAGAGAAGGAGCCATCATGCAGAATTCAAATGAACTTACATTTTCTGTGATGGATGGTAAGAACTTGATATCTAATTGAGATTGCCTTAATTTCTGTCAAAATGATTATGGATGAGTGTGATCTACAAATCTCCAGTCATTGTTAAAGACCTGGAATAATGGCAATGGACAAGATCTTCTATGATAAACTCACAGATGTTGAATTGTTTTACTGCTGGGCATGAATATTCCCCTCATCTTCTCTTGACCAGAGTTCCCTTTTTTTTTTTTTTTTTTTTTTTTTTTTTTTTTTTT